GTGTGTGTGTGTGTATGTGTATCTAGGCGTGTTTTTGAATGTATATACACTTGAGGGAAGATATAGAAGTTTGCTTTAACACAACAACATCCGTTTTCTTCTACTCTTTCGCTTTTTCTCTCGGGCCGAAAAGCCCCTTACTTCTTTAAAAGTTTTCGGCTGGTTCTAGTTTGGGGAAAAATAAAAAAGCAACAAACACAACTGATAGAAAGCTTACAATATTTATCTCAATCCCCCCCCCCCTCCTACTTATTTTTTCCTCCGTCTTTGAAATCGTCCTTAAAAGACATCCTACCCTAAGAGAAAAAAAAATCGGAATTTTTATATATTTGCTTGATGAATTGTAAATTGCATAAAAGGAGCCCACAATAAATGTGATATTTGAAGGAAAAAATCCAGATAATTGTCGTCATGCTTTAACTGATAATTTCCAAAGCACACACCTGCAGCAGGGGAAAAAAAGGTCTATAGGCCACAAACCAACCATGAAAGTTGTCGCTTCGCTGACGGCAGGTCGTCATGGAGGGGGCATGCCAGTTTGTCACAGCCTTTGTCATAGGCCACGCTGCACGACTGTGCCCTGCATGATGGAAGTTATCACTGACACTCTCAAAAAGAGTAAATGAATGATTGATTAAAATTGGATGAATTGATTTTTATTTTTCAATTGTTGTCAAACGAAAGAACATTTATTATTGAAATTTCACAGTTATTTGCTTTGATTTGCATACAAAAAAGGAAGAAATATTGAACAACACAAGCTGAATTGACGTTTTAGAGAGACCATCTCTACACCACCAATTTGAAAGTGGAGAATAAAAAACTTAAGGCACAACTACAGTGTTAACGAGCTGTAATTATGACTGTCATCAATACTCAAATACTTAAATGAAATTGTGACAAACTGGGCCTGTGACAAACTGGCATGCACCCGTCTTGGCTCGTTGTGTTGAAACGTATCATCAGACACCGGCTACTTGCTTCCTTGTTGTGTATCATCTGTCGTCGTCCCACCTTTCTTAACAAAGGTTTTCTTGTTGTTGTTGCTGTTGTTGTTGTTGTTGTTGTTTGTTGTTGTTTGTTGTTGTAGTTGTTTGTTGTTGATGTTTTCTTGAACTAGCAAGTGTTATATAATATTATCAGTATCCATCAAGATAGAATCATATTTTAAGCCGACTGTTTTTTTCTTTAAAAAAAGATTATTCTTTTTTTAATTCAAATTATGAAGTAAGTAATAATATTATTTATCCATGCATTTAGATCTAGATAAGACACACGGTTAAGAACATGCAATTCCTAGAGCTCGGGTTACAATATGGACCCACATATTTGCGATAAGCTCTGTTCATCTTCTTCTACGCAAAATTCGGCGTTTCGATAATGGGGTATGATATATTTTGTGACAGAACATTTTCTCAAGATTCACTCACCAGTTATCAATTTAATAATATCTGCATTTGTTATTAGCATGCCAGAGGTGAGATTTAGCCGAGAGGTTGGTGCGATGTAGTGATTGTATCTTCTACTGGGATACGAAGGGTTAGGAAATAGGAGCCGGAAATAGGACCCTTTCATTCTCGCTATTTTCATTCCGGTGGAGAATAACCCATGTCTCGCTATTCTCACCCCCCCCCTCCCCTTCCTCCTTGGTGAGAATATCTCTCACCCCTGTATGGGCATGAGGCCAGGACCCCCCCCCCCCCCCCCGACCTCTCGCAGGCCGTTAAAATCACATAAGGCCTTTGATGACTTACCGCAGGTGGTTGGGAACGAATAATAATAATGTAGAAACATTTTACGCCTCTCCAGTAAAAAAAAGGCAGCCGCTATTTGAAACGCCGCGTAGTTCTGTCTGAAGTGTTAAAGCTTTATCAGTTTCTTGATAAACCTCCAAGGATTTGGCTCCCTTTTTTATGACGTTGTCTTATTCCGATCAATATTGGGTAGATCTATCTGATGGAACAATTCTTTCTGACATTGTTTGCACAAAAGTAGTCTTGTACATCTCTCATAATCATAATCATTTGAGTTTAAGTTTGAGTGGGGCGGTTTAGCCCAACAATTTAAAAGGATTGTGCATTTTGTGATACAAGCACCAAATTTGGCACAGATGTACATTAATATATTGCAAACATTTTTAGATATTGGGCCACTCGGATTTCTCTCTTAATGGCCGCCATGTTGGATTTCAAAATGGCCGCCATTTGAAATCTACATTTGCGATTATCTCTGGGTCAAATGCTGCTCCTGACTTCATTTTGGTGTCTAAATGTATGTTTTTGGGGGCATGGAATCCAATGGTAACAATCTGCATAGCGTATTTGTACTAAGGGGCCGCCATATTGGATTTCAAAATGGCCGCCATTTGAAATCTACATTTTCGAGTATCTCTGGGGCAAATGCTGCTCTTGACTTCATTTTGGTGTCTAAATGTATGTTTTGGGAGGCAAGGAATCCAACGGTAACGATCTGCATAGCGTAGTTTTACTAATGAGCCGCCATATTGGATTTCAAAATGGCCGCCATTTGAAATCTACATTTTCGAGTATCTCTGGGTCAAATGCTGCTATTGACTTCATTTTGGTGTCTAAATGTATGTTGTTGTTGTTGTTTTTTTTTGGGGGGGCAAGAAATCCTATGATACCAATTTCACAATCCAAAGCACAATCTAATGCACAATTCTAATGCACAAACATAAATCAAAGACTCAAATCTAAAATTCTAATGCACAAATCTATTCCAGTGCACAATTCAATGCACAATCCAACGGCACCAATTTCAACGTAATGTTATCTTTCACACTCTGTTTTATAAAGTGATCTATGATTATATGAAAGCATGTTGATTGATTGATTGAGTGTGTGTTTTACGGCACTATCGACACAATTTTAAAAGCATGTTAAATGGGTGAAAAAGTCTTAAGTCTGTAAATGTCGTAGGTACAATTCTAGCATGCTACATGGTCTAATTTCTGAGGCTAGTTGTATATTGACATTCTTCAATGGTCTGGTATCTGAGGCTAGGTAGATATCGGTACTGAAGATGCATGTACATAAACAGTGTCATGTTTAACAAGTTCACTCTGCCACAAGTACATGTATGTTGTGGACTCATCGTCCCGTGCAGTCCCCTTCACACACA